AAAAGGTGACAGCCATTAACTTTTTGAATTTTACTGACAAGGTTAATAAATTTTATTTTGAAAGAGTAAAATTAAAAGCACTGTGGGAAAACTAATTCTGAAGAGCGCTTTCTCAGTCCTGAAACATCAAGACACGACAAGGCCGCATAAATCTTTGATTTTGGTAAACAAAAATGTGTCAAAACAGAGCTGAGGTAACTGGAAGTGGTTTTTCTAAGGTAAAAATTAGAAAAAGTGGTGGAGAACGGGGTAAAACATAAAGAGTTACAATTACTCAAGCGTCAGGAATGAGCTCCTTCGGTTTCCTCTCGAGACACTTCAACATCAGCAGAGCATCAAGGCTGACACACGCACCACTTCTTATGGAATTGAACTCACTTAAATAGAGGACCCAGAAAAGATAACAGAACTTTCAGTTACATGACATCTGCTAAGAAACTGAATAGTAGAAGGGGATTAAAAAAATGAGTTTCGCATGTGAATCTCCAGGCGAGAACAACATGGAGGTGAAGAGACTACCAGATGTCACCTCCCTCCTTTGCACACATACGTGACAAAGTGAAGGCACGAGGTGTGCATTTTCGCTTTCCTGCAGACCAAATAAACAAGTGACTCGTGGTGAGAACTTGAGGAGGGGCGGGACTGTTAACCGTCATTTCCGGGGAAGAATCACTCAAAGGTACGTGCATCACAATCATGGGAACCTTGCTTTTCTCCTCATCACTCATAAGGAATTGGGATGGCAAGAAGAACTTCAGTCTTGAGTGCTGGCAAGACAGTCGGAGTAAATCCGCGCCAACTCAGAAAGTCCTAGCGCCACAAGGCAGATGACAGTAGGCCTGAGAGATGGCCGATGCACGTCAGCTACAAAATGCACCGCGGCAGGCCGACTGACTTGTGATGTAAAGTGATTTTTGCAGGTCGACGCGAAAAGAGTGAGCATTTCATTGGTTATCCTTAAACTATTCACACACTACCCACATCACAACTCCAGTGTAAGCCCTAACACCACATTCTTACAAGACTGGGCTCTGGGTGTGTGTGCACGGACGAATAAGGAGAAATGAGATGGAAGGAGTTAGCCGAGTTTGGGTTCACTCCTACCTTCAAAAAACACAAATACTTCCATATAGATGAAATTCACAACATGATTGCTTCTCGTTGAGAAAAAAATTATAGCAGTCATAACAACAATAAGAAACTGGTAAAGTATGAAGGCACGAGGAGTAAAAGGCACGAACCTGTTTGGCAACAATCAGAGCCTCCTTCATGAGCACCGTCCACGGAGTTTCGGTGGATACGTTATAGAAGGAGTAGACAGCACGCAGAAGGTTGTATCTTGGGTGCTGCATCACCGAGCTGGGCAGAGAGTAGAAGGAGACCATGTCGGTTATGGCGCCATCGGAAGCCCGCTCTACCACGTAGGCATGCACGACGTCGTCACGGGGCAAGAACCTGTAGCAAGAAAACGACATTCATTCCTGTCGGTCATACGTGTCAATTCTTCAATTCCCACCGAGCTGGTGCGCAGGTCATTAAGTAGTTCAGACACCATTAAACAGGGTGGAAGTCAACGGCTATGGTGTGATAAGAAATAAATTGGTGAAGATGATTTCCAAAGCAAGATACTGTGGCGAAATGCCCGACACTGAGCGTAAATTTCTCAAATATGAACGACCGTGGCGACTTCTAACCCCCCGTAACAGCAGCCATTCCATTAATATTCATCCAGCGCGTGAAGCGCCTAATCCTAGACGCCAAATGAGTATGTGACTTAAGTCTTAAGGTTACCACTAACCAATGGGCGAACTCTTCCTCCGAGAAGACAGGATGGAGGCGTGAGCGAGATTCCAAGTAGGTGGCGAGGAGTTGACGACAAGCGGGCAGATCACGAGACTCGAGGAGACGAAAACCGGGTAGACTCGTGGTGTCGGGCAGACGATAGAGTTTCATGGCACGATGGAGGGTCATAGTTCGTGTAAGGTGGGAAAAGCCGACGTCCACAAGTTTCCGTGGGTTCAGCGGACGATGCCAGTACCTTCGAGAAACAGGCGAAGTGTAAGAAAGTTTTTTTTCCGGGTGATATGGAGGACTTTATGAATCCCTGGGAGGTAATTAAGATTGAAAAACATTTAAAACACCTGGAAAGATGTAACATGCATTCAGCAAACTACTACATCATCCGTCGTTAGTGAGAATCAGGATGGAAGAAAAAAACAGCAAATAGGCACATTGAGCTAAGTGGGAAACCAGACAATAATTCCAAGTGTAAAATGAGATAGGACCACCATAGTTTAATGAAAAAAGTGCAAAATTTGATCCCTAGGTCAACATGGTTATGGAATGGATATACTATTTTCGACAAAAGGTTTACACCAGCATGTAAAACAAATAAATTTACATAGATAAATTTGCTAGCATTGGGAACCAAGATTAGACATCCTGTCATTCCAAAAATACTCAATGAACGCGAGATGACCAGGAACGCACCTACAAGTAGCGACAGGTCGCGGAAGCACAACTCCGCTGGTGTAGACGGCCTGATAGATAGCGTGGAGATTGACACGTCGTGTTATCTCGCGAATCAGCACTGGAGCCATGCGTTTGTCTCGAAGGCGCTTGTGTACACACAAAAAGTTGATTTCCACCATCTTCTTCGTCCTGTGTGAAAGGTGAAAGGGGAACAGCTATGGCAGCGCTCTCTAATTTCTCGGTGGGCAAAACTCCTTTCACTTTGTCACTGTGCAGAATGTCATGGAGAAAAGACATAGAGGAGGTGATGCCTAAAAATGGCTGGCTCATCATTCAAGACAGTGATAAGGAGAAATGAAAACGAGGTAGAAGAGAAAAAGGAAATCGGTGCTTAATCCTCCCAATGTTAGAGAATTCATAATACATAATTTAAAATTTTTTTTAAGTAAATAGCCGGATGATAAAAAAGGCAGCTTTACATGGGCGGCACCAGAGCTCACCAAAGACAGTATTTTAAAAACTCACAACACCCTCATTATTTACCGCGCACTTGACTTCATCAACCAGACAACACCATTCTGCTAGTTTAAGAAAGAAAAAAGTTTAACATGAACCCTTTTAAGCCTACAAAGGCAAGAAAGAAAAAAAGACTGCAAGAAGTCTTTAACTCAGGCCATTAATATCAGCACCAAAAGCCTCATATTTTCTTATGAGGCTCACAAAAAGGGGCCTTTACAATGGCATGCAAGTTCCGTCGGAGTTTGTTAAGCCATAATTGAAGTCATCAATTGATAAAAAACCAGACATTTTTGTCTAGCAACCTAAAGATCAATTTGTTCAAAATGTGAACTAAAATGTATGGATTTACAGTTCGGCAATGCAGATACCAAAATGGCAAATTTAACAGGGCAGGTGGAAGTTTAGTTTAGGACTAGAAGAGAATAATCACCCATTAAGTCTTGTGATGATTTATTCATTTATCAAAAATTTAAAAGCGAAATAAAAGTGCAAATCCATCATCGTGTAAAAAAATTCGGAAAAATTGTAAACCAATTGGATTAAAACAACCAAAAATAAGAAAGAAAAAAGGGGAGAAACTCACTTATTGTACACACGTATATCACAGGGCATGCCGGCAATGAAACCGACGAGTTTTTTATTCTTTGCAACTCTGACACTCACATGCCACTCTGGACGCCAACCTGGGGGTTGCATTGTCCTACAAAATAACAACTAATTCAATACAATTCATTTAAAGTCGACCCGTCCAAAATGTAGGCAGCTGTACCATTTGAGGAAATCACGAGCGTATGAAAACCGGAAAATGTGATCATCATCCTCCACATAGTTCTCATTCAAGAGAGTGAACAGTTCGTCTAGCTAAAAATGACAAATTAACGATTCATTCTAGGGAAAAAAAGTGACCTCCTTAGAGTTGTTGAGATCAAGATCACACCACACGAATTCGGCGGGGAGGCTGTAACTCTCCGTTCTGATCTGAGACACCGGAATGTCGGGCTCCACAGGTTCATTCTCTGTTATTTCCTCATCTAAAAGAAGGCATTTAAGCTAAAGAAATCGAAAGTTGATACTGAGTCAGATCCAAATAAACACACCAATATCTGGGACAGGCTGGGTCTTCCAGAACTTGTAGTCCTCTTTCGATTTCTTTGATGACTTGGATGCAGATAAACCAGGAAGATTACGAGGAGAGGTAAGCATGACATTCGTAAGCTGTTTGAGCAATTCAGCCTCATTTGTTTTGACGGCTTCTTCAATGGTAGATGACGGTGGAGCAGGGGCATTTGCATTATCATCACCATTTTCTGTGGCAGAAGGCCTAGGATTTCTCTAAAATATTTTAAAGCAATGCTGTAACGAGGCAAAATATCAGGTAAGGGGAAATATTTGGAGGTGGAAAAGGGAACAAATGCAGATATGAATACAATTAACGACCGACTTACCTGCTTATTAGATTTGCGAGGCATTGTGGTATCTTACACCAACGATATCAAAGACTAAAGACAAGTAAAAAGGAAAGACAACAGGATACACGAATGATTTCAACGCCCGAACAATAATGACGACAACAAGCACCAACCTAGGGACACACGCAAAGCAAAAGCGACGACTAACAGACGCGGCCTACAGTAAAGGAATTAAAACTACACAAAATGTGCACGAATTAGTAGTATCACTAAAAATTAAAACATTGGCCCAATTAGAAAGCAACGAAAAAAATTTTTTGGATTTTATACAGAAAACTAAATTAATGCCGATAAGATAAAGATGTAGGGCAGATGGGTTTAAATATATCCTCTTCAAGATATTGAAACCGAATATAGGAAATCAAACAATAAGTTGCGACAATTTTCTGTAGATTATTAACAATAAATAGGTAACGCTACTTTAAACTGGGTAAATGCTCGGGCTTGCTTTTATTACGTTATTCGCCCCTAGGGTTTGCTGAATACAAGAGAAGCCATGATATTTTGGCAAAACATGCGTATTTAGCGTACAGCAGGAGTTGATACTACTAACAAGGCCAAAACAACCAGTTGACTAAAGCATTACCTTATTCCTACTTAATTTTAGCCCCGTCCTAATGGCTTTCCTTGGCCATTCTCCTAAGACAGCCATCACAATTTACTCAGTGCTCGAAGTTTACACCCACGCCCATCCCTGCCAGCCCCTGAATTTCCATGGATTTGAGAAGGTGTTTGACTTTAACGTTAATAATCCCTCCTACACATTTACTTAAATCCGCATTTTTGCAAGTTAAACTAGATATGTAGACTGGGCATTGTGCTGGCCATTACGCGCATCCATTCCCAGACGTAGGTACACCGGCTTAAAAGTAAATTTATGTAAGTGACGACAGGATATAACATACTTTCATGGGGAAGGAGTTTTGTGTTTGTTCCTCCTTGTCACGTTGTTTGTACTGCAGCACTTGCTCAGTCATACATATCTAGATTCTGTCCAGGTAGTATAGGAGTGGAAGATGTATCGCGAGTCCACATGATTTATATCTTCGTGCAGGTGCTGTAGGTAACTCCATAAAGACTTTTTCAAG